AGAGGAAAAGAGAGGGATAGAGAGTTAGAAACATCGATGAGAGAGAAACATCGATCAGCTGCCTCCTGCATACCCCCTACTGGGGATGTGCCTGAAACCAAGGTACATGCCCTTGACCGGAATTGAACCTGGGACCCTTCAGTCCGCAGGCCGACGCTCTATCCACTGAGCCAAACCGGTTAGGGCAGAACATTCCTTAATACATAAGAGTACTTTGTATAAGACAAAGCTGAGGATTGCCTCATGTTTGAGGAGGTTCATTCAATAAAACCTAAATCTTGGCTGGTATGGCTCAGTTGGAACATAATACAGTATATTGAAAGGTCATGGGTTCAATTTCTGGTCAGAGCACATACCCAGGTTGCAGGTTTGGTCCCTGGTTGGGATGCATACAAGAGGCAACCAATTGATGTTTCTCTCTCTCTCTCTCTCTCTCTCTCTCTCTCTCTCTCTCTCCCCTTCCTCTCTCTAAAAGTCAATAAACATATCCTCAGGTGAGGATTTAACAAAAATCTTAAAGCAAGTAGGTGGATTAGATGCTTCTGGACATTTCCTCAAACCATTGATTTTGTTGTGGTTGTTATTAACATAGCAAAAATTAAAGAATCCTTCCCTGGACATGGTGGACAATACTCATTGCTCCAAGAGGCACCCATATAAGTATGAAATTATTAGCCTTTGCATTTCCTTTTCAGCTATTTGGGACACATGGTAAGAAGCACCAGCCACAGGTTTATTTCTCATCATATATAATTACCATCTGTACTTCGAGACGTTCAACCATTCCTGCTACTATACTCTGCCCTTCTCACTGTTTCTATTGCCAGTCTATGAAGGTGATTCTTTTTTTATATATATATAAAATATATGTTTTATTGATTTTTTACAGAGAGGAAGGGAGAGGGAGAGGAATAGAGAGTTAGAAACATCGATGAGAGAGAAACATAGACTGGGCTGCCTCTTGCACACTCCCTACTGGGGATGTGCCCGCAACCAAGGTGCCCGCAACCAAGGTACATGCCCTTGACCGGAATTGAACCTGGGACCCTTGAGTCCGCAGGCCGACGCTCTATCCACTGAGCCAAACCGGTTAGGGCTGAAGGTGATTCTTGAAAAGGTTCTGAATATATCCTAAATGCAGCATCAACTACCACTGACTCCTCTCCCCTTTTTAATGGTGGCATGAGGGGCATAGATGTGTCATTTTTAGGATTCAGAGAGGGGTAGAATAGCATGAATGGTTAGAGAGGATATTGGAATTAAGATAGGATGGAATGGTTGGTGTAAGTTGAGGGTCTTCCAGATGGTAGAGTGTGGCTGCAGGGTGATTGGGTTTGGAGGCAACTCACAGGTACCATGTAGGCTGGGTGGTCAAAGAGTTAAAGAAGCAGAAGAAAATACTCTAATTCTTCCAAGTAATGCTCCCACTAGTGGCTCAGCTGCACTAATTAAAATGACATCAAGTAGCAACTTGGATGTCTGGGAGGACCTCTGAGTGCCAGAGGTGTGTGCTCACTTTTTCCCTCTCTCCACACTGGCCTGCAAATGGTGAAAACAGGTGTGATGTCAGCCATCTCCTCTTTCATCTGGACGGTGGCATCAGTTGGTCAGGGTATCTCATTTCCCCAACATTTGTTGAAGCTATTACTACTTCCCCTGATTCTTCTGTCAGAGTGCTTAAGGAGCATTTTGAGAAATATCTGGGCCTAGATAGTGAAATGGTTCTATTTGTTATTAATAACAAATCCTAGGAGTCCCATATTCCCACAGATCCACAAATCACTTGCCAATAGCATCCAGATTGACATTATCTAAATTTGTCCTCTGTCATTCCAGAAGCCTTTCCCCATACTGTCTGGGGAACTTAGGTGGAATGTAATGAAATTTAAGCCTGGGATTTGCTAAAAAAACAAACAAACAAACAAAAACACTGATGAGACCATACTAGTTTTGTTTTTCTCAAACCTTTACCTCATCTATTTAATATGGCCCTTGCTGAGAAACTTTTGAGTGTAGTCTGGTAATTGTGGTTCATTTATATTTTGAATGAGATTGAGGATGGTTAAAGTGAGCAGATGTTTTCTGTCTTCTTCCCCAACACGCCTTTCCCTGACCAGGGGCAGTGATGATGCCTCTGTGTCAATGTCCAGGCTTCATTTTGTGATGTGAAAACAGGAAGTGGAAAATGGGTTGGTTTTCTTGCCCCTTGTCCTCTGCCACAGACCAGGAACTTAGCTCTATCTATACCAATCATTCCTGGTTTTAAAAGATCAGTTTCTTTATTTAAAATATATATTTTTTATTGATTTCAGAGAGGAAGGGAGAGGGAGAGAGAGATAGAAACATCAATGATGAGAGAGAATCATTGATTGGCTGCCTCCTGCACGTCCCATACTGGGGATCGAGCCCACAACCCAGGCATGTGCCCTGACCGGAAATCGAACCGTGACCTCCTGGTTCATAGGTTGACATTCAACCACTGAGCCATGCCTACTTTGAGAGTATTTTGAGAAGACACTCTTGAACAACATAAAAACTTTAGGACAAGAACTTGTCTTTTGTCCTCACTGTTTTGAGTCTATTTTCAAGTAGTTGAAAGTCACCAGATAAAGTGAACTCTGACCAAGTTTTATACTTTTATTATCTCCATTGTGTGCTATTTATATTCCTAGGGTTAATACTTATCATATTTTTTTCCCTTAGCCATCACTGCTGTCAAAATATCATAATATATTATGAATTGTTTCACATAAAGAGCATTTAAAATAAGGATACGATGTTATACTGAAGTTATTGATAGTCGAGAATTTATTTATATGGATTTGTTAGTAAATGTACCAATTGTTTTTTTCCTGTGTTTAGTTTGTTTGTTTTTAATCCTCATTTGAGAATATGGTTTTATTGATTTTCAGAGAGAGAGGAGGTGGGGGGGGGGGAGAGAAACTTCAATGTGAGAGAGAAACATTGATTGGTTGCCTCTCATATGTGCCCCGACCAAGGATCAAACCCACAACCTAGGTATGTGCCCTGACTGGAAATCAAACCCACAACTTCTGTTGTTGGAATAATGCTCCAACCAACTGAACCACCTGGCCAGGGCTTCCTCTTTTTAATTTTAACACATATAATGGTAACCTTAAAAGAAGTTCACAAATTATAAAAATCAATACTCTAGGACCCAACATAGTCATTTCCCAGGAAGAAATTTTATTTCATGTTGTGAATGCAAATTTTAGTAACAATTCTGTTGAAGTTACTTTTCTAGGACTGTTATCAAAGTATTATTTCAACTACTCAAGATAAAACACATTATCAGAACATGATATTTCAAAACGTCACAAGTGAGAAACCACTTGCCAAAAGGTAACACATTTGTTTAATTTCACTAGTAACAAGTGAACTGGTGGATAAGTCATGATTTTAGATGTGTATGATATTTCTATTAAGACATCCAAGTTACAGGGATGATCAGAAATGGGTATGGCTATGGAGAGATTCCAGGTGAATCAGTGGATCACCTCTGGGGGCCCATTGGGCCCACCAACCCTATTCCACAAACTTAAAACAACAAAATCTTTTAATTCATGGTGTGGTTTTAACTCATGGGTGGTTCATGAGCACTGAGAACCAAATGCATCTCTGCTTGGGAAAAAATTAAGGGGCTGTGTTGACAGATAACTTGGAGAGTATCTCTACAGATGAAGATCTTGACCATTTTAAGTTAGGAAGCACTGCTGGGGAATAGCATTTCATGTCCAGTGATCAACAGGGTTGGAAAGTGCTGGTACTTCCTAGGAGAAGAAACTTCTCTTGATAGCTTTAGGACTGAATTGTGAGTTGGAAACAGCTAAGTAAAGAAACCAATCCCTGAAGACAAGTTAAATGTTTTCGAGTGAATTTGCACAGTGAAACAGTAACTCCAAATAATCAAAATTTGCAAAACTATTTTTTTCTATTATATGAATGCAATCTGTTTTGGCCTGATAATTATAGCTGTAGGTCTAGTAATTAGATGAATGACTCAGATCCACCCCAATATGGTCACTCAGTAGAATTATTGGTACAAACCAAAAATGAAACAAATATTTGTTTCATAACCAAATCTGAAATAAACAAAGTATTTCCTGGGTTATATGTCTAGGCTCCAAAGAGAAGAGATGGCATCCCTAAAGATAGGAAAAACAGAATCTTCTTTCTTATATTTCTCTTTCTCTTTGTCATGGAAACAGGTTTTAAAGGAAAGGGATGTACATAGAGTTTTAAAACTGGGAGAGGCCACCAAGCTCCTTCATTTCTACAGACTTCTGAGACCACATGATTTGCCTGAGTCAACAGTAACTGGTGTCAGTCTGCTTTATTAATCAATGGGCGATTTAGTGTCTCTGCTCATATTCCTACTTGTTGCTACTTAGAATATTTATTAAGTTCACGTCTTTTAGGCTATGAGACTAGCCAAGATGAGCAATTTTTAGTTTGCCTGGCCACATAAGCTGAAATCCTGCCAGTTTTTCTGGCAAAACATAACAGTTGGGTTACATCAGGTAGGATCTGGTGAAGAGATGATTAATAGTTTCAGAGTCTGAAAAAACAAAGCTAAGCCTTCCGCCTCCTTCACGTCTCATAATAGCCATTTCTTGTGTGCTGTCCTGTTTGACTTCTCACTTTCAAGGAACTCAAACTCCCTCTGGCTATATCAGGAAACATGAAGCTGGGCTGAGCCAACATGTGGCTGATTTTGTGATCGCCAACCAAGTTCATCCTTTTGCCATCTGTTGAATCTTTAGTATGAAATGCTGTATAAAAGTGAGAAGCTCAGTGTTGAAATGGATGAGTTGATGTTTGTGGAGCATCTGACACAATGTCATCCCTGCATTTAGCATCAAACAAGCCTTCCAGAAAGTATAGATTGTTTTGATATCACCAGGGGTTTGGATATACTGGTAGCTTCTCTTCCTTCTTGTGGGGGATGGGGAATGGGGGGGGTGGTGGGGCGGGGAGGGATGATTAGTTTAATACTAGCTCCTCTCAGGAGATGAACTCTTGCCCCATGAAATGTCACCTGCACAATAGCTAGGTAAGCTGGCTTGTGTGTGTCTAGGGGTTAGAATTCATGTTCAAGAAACCAGCCTTTTATAAGTCCCCTTAACACTGTGAGTAGTATAGGGTCAGCTTACAAAACTGTTTGCTTATATTCTTTTGAGATTTGGCCCTGCTTATTTGGGGTGAGATGGGACTTTTCAAGCAGTTCATAGTCCTCCTGTATGTTGGGGAGACTTTGCCTCGTGTCTTGGGTGCCCTTTTGGACCTGAATATCAGTCCTGTTCTTCGGAGAAACCCTCTGGCCCCGGTATGCCTGAGCCTGGCGTTTACAGATGCCAAACTTACTGAGTAGGATAAATACGTCCCGCTGGAAGGTCTTGGTGAAAATAGCGTAGAGGAATGGATTGGCACAGGAGTTAAGTGGATAAAAGAGAACCAGTAAGATTTTGGAGTTGGTAACCGTGATAAGAGGCTTGTTCATAAGAGCTGACAGAGCATAAAATGAGATGGGGGCCATGCACATAAAGTCAGTGAAGATCAAGACAGCCATCCTTTTGGCAATTTTGGTGTCTTTGTCCCCTGGGTTGTACTGGGGATTTCGGACTGTGATGTAGATCTTCACGTAACAGAAGCAAACGATGATAAAGGCAACTATGTTGAGCAACAGGACAAGGATAATATATGCCAGGGCAAGAGGGGTCTCGGTGTCCATGGGCAGGCAGATGCTGACTTTGGCATAGCTGCTGATTCCCACCAAAGGGAGCAGGGCCAGCAGGAAGCAGCAAACCCAGCCCCCAACCATGATGGCATATGCATGCCTGAGGCGGATTTTCCGGTCCAGGCGCATGGCGAAGGTGATGGCATACCAGCGCTCCAGGGTGATGACTGTCAGTGTATACACTGACAACTCACTAGCAAAGACGGTGAAGAAACCAGCCGTGTTGCATCCGGGGCCTGTCTGCCAGTCGATGGCGTGGTTGTAGTACTCAGATTGAGTGTAGAGGTCTACGGAGGCAATGAGGAGTAGATACATCCCCATGCAGAAATCCGCAAAGGCCAAGTTGCACATGAGAAAGCGCGGGACGGTCAGTTTGTAGTGGCTGGTGAGGAGGATGACCAGGACGAAGACGTTGCCCAAGAGAGCCAGCAGACTAACAAACCACACCACGATTCTCAGGAATTTGTAGCCCATTATGTCTTCACAGGGGTTGAACTCATCTGACTTGGGGGTACACACCATGTATTCATTGCCCCCACACACTATGTAGTCATAATGGTTATCAAAGGCCTGTAGGGTCTCTTCCTGTGGGTTTTTGAGCTTCTGGCCAAACCCAATGATCTCATCTTCTTGCTCTTCAAAGAAGACATAATAATGAGAGTGGGAATTCTGGAACTTGTTTTCCCTGTACCCAGCATTGTGGTCACCTGGATCGTCTTCATATTCCTGGTAGAAGGGACCATTCAAAGCATTCACAGACCTTCTCTGACGCAGGCTCTGGATACTGCTCTCATTACACATTAAGGAGTCAAGGATTCTGCAAGGCAACAGAAACAAGTCACTGCTTGCTGAAAACCCCCTAATGGGCCCCACAACATGTAGCAAAAAAGATTCTACATGACCTGGTTAGGTCCACCTCTCCTAAGTCATTTCCTATTACCCTTCAAAAACTATGCTCCAGTGAGCTGGCCCTTATTTCTCCTCTGCAACCAGTTCAAGACCATTAGTGAGAGAAAAAGCATGGATGCTGGAGCCAGTCTGCCTAGGTTAGGACCTGGCTTCACTATTTACTAGCTGTTTCACCTTGGGCAGGTCTATGAAAATTTGGTTTATCCTATTTTAAAAACAGAACCATGAAATGATCTATTTAATATATTTTTAAAGCTCTTATATAGCACCTGGAACATGGTTGGTGCTGTATATGTGTTGGTTATTGTTTAGAACACCATGTTCCCTTTGCCTGAAAACTCATGACTGCTTCTACTCATTATTCAGTTTTAAACTCAACTGTCCTTTTGTCCCTGATCTCTTTATTTTTATTTATTTATGTTTAAAATATATTTTTATTGATTTCAGAGAAGAAGGGAGAGGGAGAGAGAGATAGAAACATCAATGATGAGAGAATGGAACCCTGACCTCCTGGTTCCTAAGTCAATGCTCAACCACTGAGCAATGATGGCCCGGCTGTCCTGATCTTAGATAAATTTTCCTACCCTTGTGTTTATTTCCTTCATAGCATTATCTGATATCTTACTTGTTTGCTTGTTGATTTTCTGACTTCACCTACTGGAATGTAAATAAAATATTCTTGCCTGTCCTATTCACTGAACAAATGAATAAATGGACAGTATCATGCAGGCATGCTTGTCGAGTAAGACTTAGTTTATTGTTAACCTATCAGACTGACATCAAAAGAGATTCTTTAACTTGCTGGGCAGATGTTGATTCATCTCTTGGGTTAAAATGCCAATGGGCTGCCTATTCCAACCTGTTTGGAGGTTAACGGGAAATCTGGACCCTGCCCTTATGCAGTTCATTAGCCTCCCACCCATCCCTGGTCCTTTCCTACTCTGGGCCACATGGCATCAGTATAGAGCCTGCTATCAGCACCCCCATACCCCACTCCTAGTTTTCTGTAGATGTTATGCCCGCCATTGACCTTTGCACAGCTGCTCAACTTTTCCATTTGCTTCTTCCCACTATTAGATCCCGAATTATTTCCCAATGCAAGTATGAATGCAGAATGTCAACCAGTAGATATTATTTAGAGACAGAGAACACACTATACCAGTGATGGCGAACCTTTTGAGTTCGGCGTGTCAGCATTTTGAAAAACCCTAACTTAACTCTGGTGCCGTGTCACATATAGAAATTTTTTGATATTTCAACCATAGTAAAACAAAGAGTTATATTTTTGATATTTATTTTATATATTTAAATGCCATTTAACAAAGAAAAATCAACCAAAAAAATGAGTTCACGTGTTACCTCTGACACGCATGTCATAGGTTCGCCATCACTGCACTATACTAATAAATGACGGCAGTATTAGGAAAATGTGATTGCATGAGACACAAAGGGGGAAATAATACAGAGTAAAAGTGTAGGTGAGGACAAGATTCAGAGAAAGCATGGAGAGAAAAAGACCATCCCGCTCCCGGCAGGTGGCTCAGTGGTTAGTGTCAACCTATAAACCAGGAGGTCACGGGTTCAATTACCAATCAGGGCACATGCCTGGGTTGTGGACTCGATCCCCAGTGGGAGACGTGCAGCAGGCAGCCGATCAATGATTATCTCTCATCAGTGATGTTTCTATCTCTTTCTCCCTCTCCCTTCTTCTCTGAAATCAATTAAAAAAAAAAAAGACCATCCCTCCTTTGCAGCCTGATCATAAAATAATACACATTGAGAGCTTATAATATTCCAGGTTATTGTGATAGGTGTTTTCTATTCAGTTTCTCATGTAATCTTCTCAAAACCTTTTTGAGTGATAGCATTATGATCTCCATTCACAGAGGCTCAGGGAGGTTAAGTAGGCTGAGATAACACAGTTAGGAAGTGGCAGAGATGGGGTACAAACCCAGCTGATTCCAAAGCCCCCACATATGTAACCAGTAAGCTGTGACCTTTGCAAAGCCCTAATTGACCAGGTAACACAATTACTTGTGTTTCTAAGTTTGTCCTCGGAATTGTGGCATCTAATGCATGTTGCATCTGGAGGCCATGCAATCTAATCTTAATAAGATTTCTACATGATCTGGTCATTCCTCTCTCTGCTATGTCATCTCCTAGTCTCCTCCCCTCCCCTGCTGTGCTCCATTGACCTTGGCCTTATTTCTCATCTGTAGCCACGCTGAGTCTGCATCATTGTGTCCCATGGATTTCATGTTTCTTGTGGATACTTCCAATTCTTTCTACATGGTTTTCAAACCACAAAGCTTCTTCCCCGGACCCAGAAATTAATACAACTTTTCCTAAGGCCTTTTGTTGCTTATCCCAGACACCTGCCACTTACCCTCTGATTTTCTTCTGATTCTTAAAAGCACAGCAGTGGCTTGGATAAGAAAGGTCAGCCCGTGTGAGATGGAGGAAACTCAAGGAAATTGGAAGTTTCTTTAGAGTCCAAGTGTTTCTTGCTATCAGTTCCTTGAGGTGCTCCAGGCCTTTGGAAGGCAGGGCAGTAACACTGGTATAAGAGACGTCCCTGGCGGCGGGGGGAGGAGAAAACAGAGTCATACAGAGAGGTGGTGAGCATCCAGCCTCTAACTGTTGCCCAGAAAGTCAAAGAAGCCCGGGATTAATGTAAAATTCACAGGCTCCTTTCTGTTACTGAATATACACTCTGAGTTTTTATATACAGCCACTGGTCTAAGAAAGGATAGTAGGCTTCTAAGTGATAGGTGACAAGGGTCTCCCATTTTTATTGCTTGGAACTCCGGTATCCATCAATACAATAACTGTTTAGCAGACATTATATTTTATCCATCGCAATACATACAAACTTTTGGAGTCAGGGACAGACATCAATTCTACTCTGGAAATCTATACCTATAGCTACTAAAGGGTTTCAAGAGGCAAAAGAAATATATTTGAACAGGCTCAAAGGGGCCAAAATTGCTCTCAGTCTCTGTGGGGAATGGGGTTTTGGGTTTAATGAACTGCTCAATGATACAGATCAACACCAATATCATGAAAATCTCCTGAAGATGCAGAACTTGGGAGTCATACCAGTTGCATGGTGAATTCATGAGATGAGAGAGAGAGAGAAACATTACGGTTGCCTCCTGTACACATCGCAACTGGGGATCAAAATTTCATTTTCCATCTTTTTAGGGAGATTTCAGGAGGCAGATGAAATAAAAGGTTTTGCTGAATGCACTATTTTTGACTTTATTTTCTGTAATAATTACCAGTTTTATTTCTCTGGCTAAGATATGCAGAAGTGATTTGAGGTTTATATTTTAACTAGAGGCCCAATGCACAAAATTCATGCATGGGTAGGGTCCTTAAGCCTGGCTGGTGATCAGGGCCGGTCTGTGGGTTGACCAGTGGGGCAATCAGGGGGCCCCTGCTGGTACCCGCCTTGGCTGGCTTGGGGCCTGCGGGCTGGGGGCAGCTCCTGCATTGAGTGTCTGCCTCTTGGTGGTCAGTACACAACAAAGCAACTGGTCGTTCCACCTGTTGTTCCACTGTTTGGTCGATTTGCATATTAGGCTTTTATTATATAGGACTAGAGGCCCGTTGCACGAAGAGATTCGTGCAATAGGCCTTCCATCCCCTGGCTGCCAGCACCGGTTTTCCTCGGGCAACTGGGACCCAGGCCTTCCCTCGGCCGCAGCGGAGAAATCAAGCCTCTTCAGTCTTCACTTGTCTTCAGTCTTCGCGCAGTGCCTGCATATGAAATTAACCTCCATCTTTGTTGGGTTAATTTGCATATGCATCCTGATTGGCTGGTGGGCATAGAAGAGTGACACCAATTTGCATGTTTCTCTTTTATTAGTGTAGATAGTTTAGAGAAGAAATCAAGAGTTTAGGAGAAGAAATAAAAGGCATCCAAATTGGAAGACAAGAAGTAAAATTGTCATTTTTCGCAGATGACATGATATTGTACATAGAAAACCCTAAAGACTCCATTAAAAAATTATTAGACTTAATAAACGAATTTGGCAATGTAGCAGGATACAAAATTAATGTCAGGAAATCAATGGCATTTTTATACACCAATAGTGAACTTACAGAAAGAGAAATTACAAAAACAATCCCATTTACCATTGCACAAAAAAAAGTAAGATACCTAGGAATAAACTTAACTAAGGAGGTAAAAGACCTGTACTCAGAAAACTACAACACGTTGAAAAAAGAGATAGAGGAAGACATAAACAGATGGAAGAACATACCGTGTTAATGAATTGGTAGAATCAACATCATTAAAATGTCCATACTACCCAAAGCAATCTATAAATTCAATGCACTCCCCATTAAAATATCAATGGCATATTTAACAGATCTAGAAATAACTCTCCAGAAATTCATCTGGAATTAAAAAGAAAAAACCCGAATAGCTGCAGCGATCCTGAGAAAGAAGAACAAAGTAGGAGGGATCTCAATACCAGATATCAAGAAGTATTACAAAGCCATTGTTCTCAAAACTGCCTGGTACTGGCACAAGAACAGACATATAGACCAATGGAATAGAATAGAGAACCCCAAAATTGACCCAAACAACTATGCTTAATTATATTTGACAAAGGAGGCAAGAGCATACAATGGAGTCAAGACAGCCTCTTCAATAAATGGTGCTGGGTAACTTGGTCAGATACATGCAAAAAAATGAAACTAGACCACCAACTTACACCATACACAAAAATAAAATGGATAAAGGACTTAAACGTAACACGGGAAATCATAAAAATATTAGAGGAATCCACAGGCAGCAAGATCTCAGATATATGCCGAAGCAATATCTTCACCGACACAGCTCCTAGGGCAATGGAAACTAAAGGGAAAATAAACAAATGGGACTACATCAAAATAAAAAGCTTCTGCACAGCAAAAGAAACTATCAACAAAACAACAAGAAAACCCACTGCATGGGAGAACATATTTGCCAATGATATCTCTGATAAGGGTTTAATCTCCAACATTTACAGGGAACTCATGCAACTTAACAAAAGGAAGACAAACAACCCAATCAAAAAATGGGCAATGGATCTAAATAGATACTTTTTGAAAGAGAACATACAGAAGGCCAAGAGACATATGAAAACATGCTCAAAGTCACTAATCATCTGAGAGATGCAAATCAAAACAATGAGGTACCATTTCACACCTGTCAGAATGGCTATCATCAACAAATCAACAAATGACAAATGCTGGAGAGGATGTGGAGAAAAAGGAACACTCTTGCACTGCTGGTGGGAATGCAGACTGGTGCAGCCACTGTGGAGAACAGTATGGAGTTTCCTCAAAAAGCTAAAAATGGAACTACCATTTGACCCAGTGATCCCACTTCTAGGAATATATCCCAAGAAACCAGAAACACCAATCAGAAAGAATATATGCACACCTATGTTCATAGCAGCACAATTTACAATAGCTAAGATTTGGAATCTGCCTAAGTGCCCATCAGCAGATGAGTGGATTAAAAAACTTTGACACATCTATGCAATGGAATACTACGCTGCTGTAAAAAGGAAGGAACTCCTACCATTTGCAACAGCATGGATGGAGCTGGAGAGCATTATGCTAAGTGAAATAAGTCAGTCAGAGAAAGATAAATATCACATGATCTTACTCATTTGTGGACTATAATGAACAACATAAACCAATGAACAAAAACAGATCTAGAGACCGAGAAGCATCAATCAGATGCTCAAACCTCAGAGGGAAGGTAGGGGAGGGTGGGGGTAAGGGGGAGAGATCAACAAAAGGACTTGTATGCATGCATATAAGCATAAGGGATGGGCACAGACAATAGGGGGTGAGGGTGAGGGCAAGACTGGGGGGATGAGGGGACAATGGGAGGATAAAGACACATTTGTAATACCTTAATCAATAAAAAATTTAAAAAAAGGAGTTTAGGTGCCCCCATTGCCCTTATAAGCTGGTTGCAAATTATTTATTCTTTTACTTATTAAAACATTTCAGTCTATCTGTGACATATGTTCATTAAAAATACATATAAGCAAAAATAAAATGCACATCACACAGAAATAAGCAGTTTTTGATGTGTGTATGTATCCACACACGTACACACACACAGACTTTTACCCTACATATGTGAGCTGTTACTAAACATGCTGCTTTGTAACTTGCTATGTTTTACTTTACAATATGGAATAAACATTTTGTTATTATTATTATTTGCTGCTAAAGCTTTATTGTTTCCATTTGGCCCAATACAAGGGAGATGGCTCCAGGGTGGTTAAAAGAATGACTAGTGATTTCAGGGAGAGGCTCAGGCAAAAACCAGACACCAGGGAGATGCAGAGGGACCCCTCAAAGGCTCTGGGCTCTAAAGGTTCCTAGTTGTGCTTGAGGGTGAGCCTTCGAAGACATTTACCCAGCCCAGCCTGTGGAGGTGAGTCAGGTGTCACCCATCTTCTTGATGAGTTTCACCTGCTCATCCAGGAAGTGTTTCTCCAGGAACCTGCTGAGATGGGCGTCTGCGTGGGCAGAACACAGGGCATGCAGACCCACAGGGGCCTAGTTCAGGTTCTTCTCCATGACTATGGAGCTTCCATGGTGTCCTGGGTTTTACCCTACTCATCCTGGGAAGGCTTGGAAGAGAATGCGGTCGCTGAGCTGGTTTTGCATCTTTAAGAGAAGCTGGGCTCCTCGTGCTTCTGCTCCACCACCTTGTGGAAGATGTGGCCCAGGCCCTCCAGAGCAGTATCGTCAGGGTGGAAATGGAAGCCCAGGGAGAGGTAGGTGCGGGCGGCCCACAGATGCTGGGTGACCAGGCTGTTGACGGGAATGATTGGGAAATGATTCTGATGAATTCGGGAGCTCATGGTTGTTCAGCAATAAGGAGTTAAGGTAGAAAAAACAAAACAAAACGGTGTTGCCTGGTCTCAGAGGCTGAGGATGGTTCCCAAGGGTGGTCGAAGGCTGGGTTGGCGTCCCTCGGTCTGTTCCATTCAAATACTGTTGAAGCAAGAGACAGATCTGAGGGGCCACCAAGGGCACTCTGGAATAGACATATTTTTATGCATTTGGGTAAGATTTCCCAACTGAAAAACAGACCTGGAGAACGAGTCAAAATACAAAATGCTGGTAACAAGGAAACTACCTAAAACAAAATTCCCCCAGATGATTAAAAGTAAAACGAAGGCAAAAGCTACCTTAGAAAATGTGAACAGAAAGAAAGCAGGGGCTAGGTTTTACTATCCTACAAAAAAAGAAAAAAAAGAATTCAGGCTTAAAGTACTCAGGATAAGGATCGCTGTGTGAATGTCTTTGCTTCAAATGCATCACCACAAACTTGTTTCTTACTCTTATTTCTTCCCTAAGCCTTTCCAGTTCATTGACTCCTCTTAGCATTTCTTCAGAGTTCAAATGCCTAACGGGAGTGTCCTCTTTAAATCCCCAGACAGGCCGAGTCAGCCAGTCTAAGGCTTCCTTCTGCTTCTGGCTGACCCCTTCTTCAGAAGGTTGAGGATTTCCTTCTGCCTCCTGTGGCATCTCTTCTGAAGGGCGGTCATT